CAGTCACACGCACACACAGTCACACGCACACACAGTCACACGCACACACAGTCACACGCACACACAGTCACACGCACACACAGTCACACGCACACACAGTCACACGCACACACAGTCACAAGCACACACAGTCACACACAGTCACAAGCACACACAGTCACAAGCACACACAGTCACAAGCACACACAGTCACACGCACACACAGTCACACGCACACACAGTCACACGCACACACAGTCACACGCACAGACAGCCACGCACACACAGTCACACACAGCCACAAGCACACACAGTCACAAGCACACACAGTCACACGCACACACACAGACACACGCACACACACAGTCACACGCACACACAGCCACACGCACACACAGTCACACGCACACACAGTCACAAGCACACACAGTCACAAGCACACACAGTCACAAGCACACACAGTCACAAGCACACACAGTCACAAGCACACACAGTCACAAGCACACACAGTCACAAGCACACACAGTCACAAGCACACACAGCCACAAGCACACACAGCCACAAGCACACACAGTCACACGCACACACAGTCACACGCACACACAGTCACACGCACACACAGTCACACGCACACACAGCCACACGCACAGACAGCCACACGCACACACAGCCACAAGCACACACAGTCACAAGCACACACAGCCACACGCACACACAGCCACACGCACACACAGCCACACGCACACACAGCCACACGCACACACAGTCACACGCACACACAGCCACACGCACACACAGTCACACGCACACACAGTCACACGCACACACAGCCACACGCACACACAGCCACACGCACACACAGTCACACGCACACACAGCCACACGCACACACAGTCACACGCACACACAGCCACACGCACACACAGTCACACCAGGAGTGGCCCCTGATCCACAGGATCCTTGAACATGTTTATTTGGACTGTGAGAGACTGTGCATTGTGAGAGAAAGACACTTACATCGGCTGTTTTGGGAGTCGAGTGATTATCTCACTCCTCTTGATTGTTGAAGAAACTCAGCGACAGTTTTGTCAACACTGACTCCTGGAACATGATCGATATTCATTTTGGACCTCAGGGCAGCAACACAACTGTAGGGATGAACGACACACACATCACAACATCATTATCATAATCACTGCGTCCCATATATGCATTCACAACAACCTACATGACAAATGTGGGGTGTAAAGTCTTCCTCAGGAGATGACAATGGCCATTCTTCTAATTCTGGAAGCAAAGTCTTGTCTTCAGTCAATACTAGAGAAAGAAGAGCTCAGCAGAAAAGTATCTAGTCGTTATGGCATTGTTTTTTTTTTATAGTTATTTAACTTGCATTATGGAGGCTTTTGAACTCTTGTACATTGAAGACCTCATTCCAATTGATTTAGGCCATACTGGAAAAGATACAGAGAAAAGAATGCAATGAAGACATGTAAATTATTACAATGTCTATTATATCATGCTCATAATTTATTTGGTAGTAGTCAGCAAGACTTTTCTTACTTATTCTCAATACATAATAATAAAAATGTATGTAGTGGTCACGGAAGTTAGATTTGAGGTAAAGAGATATTGTTTTTATAACAATAAAACTAATATACAGAGTGCAAGTTGCAAAACTTAGTCATTGAAGAATGAAATGCAGACCTACATATATATATAGTGCAAGCAACTATGTTTATTGGCAAAAACAAACGATTCATACAGATCAGAAGTGATCGTAGCAGCCACATCATATTCACAACTACATACAGCTAATGCTAACAGCTAACGCTAATGCTAACAGCTAACGCTAATGCTAACAGCTAACGCTAATGCTAACAGCGAACGCTAATGCTAACAGCTAACGCTAATGCTAACAGCGAACGCTAATGCTAACACCACTTCACGGGGGAACTCTGGTGATATGGTCATTTAATGTTGTACATGTGGGGAACTAATAATTGACCGGAGTTTATGGATGGCTGAGGCTGGGCTAAGGCTTCGATGTTGTGTTGTCTGTTGTTGTTTCTCAAAGCTAAGCCAAGGTAATGCGCAGTTATTGCCACAAAATGCGGCCGTATTTCTACAACAGCTGGGGATTTTTAACTAGCTAACTTGGTGAAAACCCGCATTACAGTCTCAGGCAACAATATGTATAAATAATACAACTACTACTGCCACTACTGAGTAACATGCTCACCTGTTCAGTCGGAGAGAGGAATCCACGGAGCTAGAGGTCGCCAACATGAATGCAGCTGGTCACCATGTTGCTCCTACTTTTTGTCGTTCCTCTGTTTCTGGCGTTTTGCCTGTATTTAATAGATCCATGGTATTTAGTCTGCAGCAGCGCTGGAGGCGGCTTTTCCTTCTCCGCCATGTTTGTTTTGAAGAGTGCGCGTGCACACACGGGAGAAACCCCTTATAAGGCGTGCTCTCTCGTCATTGGATAAGCGCATAGGATGTGAGGTTTTTTTATTATATAGGTGGGAGAAGACTGGAAGGACTGAGAGATCCGTGTTTAGGTACAAACACTCTATATAAGTGATGGCTATTGGAATATATCAATATTTAAGACGTATATTAACACCCAAAAATCGCTTACTGCTGCTTTAATAAGTGTAGTTCTTCAAAACTTGAAGAATTAAGTTAATGCCTTCAACTCAAAAATCCTTCGCAGCTGGTTGCTTTGAAATTTTGAGTTGAACTAACTTTATCTTTTTTACAGTGTTCATGGACCAGAAGTCCAATTAAAATAATGGACAATTGCTCCTGCAGCCCTGAACAGGACATGCGAGGTGCGCGGGTCGGCCCGAAACCCCCAGTCAACCCGCGGGTCCCGCGGTTTCGGGCGGGTTGGATGCCTCAAAAATATGAGTCATGTCAGGTGCGGGTGGGTCGGGTCAGAAAGCTCCTGATCCCTATATAATATTATATATGTGAGCCACGGTATGGGAGTCCCTTGAGTACATTTGCAATCGCGCAGGGAGGCTAAACAAAAAAATCATGCTGACAAAGAGGATCGCTCCTTCCTGACTCCACGCTTAAAGCCTCAGAACACTCCAGCCCGAGGACAGACGTGTGATCTACACAGAGGCACCGAGACTGATGACGGTGTGGGCCTCACAGCAGAGGCCTAAAGCAGGGGCCTCATTACTTTAATACTTACAGTCTGTGGTAAATACACGGGCTACATGTGGTACACGTGCTTAGACTATATTAATATTGTATGTGTAACATTCAAAATAGATTGAGTGAATATTCCCTTTTCCTCATTTAGTGATTTGCGGAGGAGAGGAGAGGAGCAGCGAGAGAAGTTTGGCAGTTAAAATAAATGAATTACAGCTTGCTAAATTATTTGAAAGCATCTTCATTATGAATGTTATATTTATGTATTTATTATAAATGTTAGAGATGCCAGAGAAAAGGCGTCTGCTTTTTTTCTGAGTGGGAGGAGACACCAGCGGAGCTGTTTGAGTCAGATAACGTTCAGCGTTATATTACCAATAGTTTCTCTTTCCATAACGATATTCTCTCTTTTTGGAAAGATCACCAACGTGATGCAAAAGTTTACGTTATATGCAGTAGTTTTAATGTCTGCGGGTTATTCCAGAGACTGGCCTGCTACAAGGAGTTGCCCGTTTTAACCAGATTGTCGATGTGCGCGGGGCAGAAACTCATACAGTAGGCGACGGATATAATCAGTTGCCAGTCCGATGTACAGTACGCTAGGCTTAAAGCCACAGATAGTTGTCCAGTGAAGGGAGAAGAAAGAGCGATGAGACGCCAATGTAACCCTGCTCACAAGTGCCACCTGGTGGTTGTTTTGGTCATTGCAACGTCACTGGGAGGGGGGAAAATAAAAGACGCGTGAATCACACGTGAGTCTCGTGTGATTCACGCGTGAAAGGCGACAAAACGGAATGGGACCTACTGTAAATTTCACACCATTTGATCTTCTCAGAACTCTGACAGAGATCCTACTGCAGCAGAACAGAAGTCTGTTTACATCTAAAAACCATTTACAGAAACAAAGGGACTGAGGTTTGTGCAGAAATCACAGGTTTTTATTCACTTTTTCACCAGTTGTCGGTTCCAGACGGTTTTCAAACCAATGAGTCCAAACGCTCTGAACCAAAGAGAAAAACACTGAACCAAAGTGAAAAACACTGAACCAAAGTGAAAAACACTGAACCAAAGTGAAAAACACTGAACCAAAGTGAAAAACACTGAACCAAAGAGAAAAACACTGAACCAAAGAGAAAAACACTGAACCAAAGAGAAAAACACTGAACCAAAGTGAAAAACACTGAACCAAAGTGAAAAACACTGAACCAAAGTGAAAAACACTGAACCAAAGTGAAAAACACTGAACCAAAGTGAAAAACACTGAACCAAAGTGAAAAACTCTGAACCAAAGTGAAAAACACTGAACCAAAGTGAAAAACACTGAACCAAAGTGAAAAACTCTGAACCAAAGAGAAAAACACTGAACCAAAGTGAAAAACACTGAACCAAAGTGAAAAACTCTGAACCAAAGTGAAGCAGCGACGGTGAGTCCTGCTGTGGGTCCTGTGTGTCCTGAGTCCTGCTGTGAGTCCTGCTGTGAGTCCCACTGTGGGTCCCGTGGTGGGTCCCGCCATGGTACAGGTGGGTACAAGGGGCAGATGTAGCCCAGGAACCGGAGAGACCACAGACTCCTGTAGCCCCGGCCCCCCCTCCTGTAGCCCCAGGGTCGGCACTAGATCATATACGGAATCAGGACGAAACCGGAAGTAGCAATCCTACTTTCGAATTAGTTTTAGACTAATATGTCCTTAAATGGTGACTGGTTAAGTTTTAGGTGTCTGGGTAAGATGGTTAAGTTTAGGGTTAAGGCTGGGTTGGGGTTATTTTATGGGAATGGATGGTTAAGTTTAGGCATGAATAGGTAGTTTGTTATATTTACTTCCACTTCCGATCCGAATCCGTATATGATCTAGTGCTGACCGTAGCCCCAGCCCTCCTGTAGCTCCGGCCCTGCCTCCTGTAGCCCCCCCCCCCCCTGTAGCCCCGCCCCTCCCTCCTGTAGCCCCGCCCCTCCCTCCTGTAGCCCCGCCCCTCCCTCCTGTAGCTCCGCCCCTGCAGGTCAGTAACAGCCTCAGTTCCTCTCAGACTCTCCTCATGGAGAACGCCACAGACGCCACAGAGCTGTGGGAGTATTATTACGATTATGTGGATCCAGTGACGGTCGACGAGACTAAACTCAGCTTCAACAAATGTAACCATTTATTTATCTTCTTATTATGTTCTTATTATGTTCTTATTTATTTTGATGGTGTTTTGCTTCAGACCTGATGGTTATAATCTTCTGGATGGTTCTGTCCGTGTTTGTGGGATTCCTGTTTGTGAGTCTGAACCTTGTCTCAAAGATCGGAACAAAGTGAGTTGGAAAAGCTACTTTTTTAATACTTTATTTTGTAAGATTTTAGTTAAATTATACATAAAGTAAAAACAATAAAACATAATGTAAATACAGAGCATCATATGACACATGTAAACTTCAGATTTAAAGTGTCATTAATAGTTTTACTCAGATTACATTTTCATGAGATTTTCTCAGTATTTGTTGCTCTTGTTTCTGGAAAGTGTCAGATTGAAGTGTTTGGTGAAGCTCCAGGATGTGTCCAGACCAGAGGCTTCTCCACAGAACCTTCTGTGTTCATGGTCTTTGCAGCAGAACTGACTGAGACTGTGGAAAGTTTCCCAAACACACTTCTTTAAAACCAAAAGTCTCATCAAGGCTAAATATTCTGTGGCTTTTATCACCTCTGGCCACTAGGGGCGCTCTTTGCCCAGTCCCAGAGGAGGTGGAAATGTCTTGATCTGTTGATGGTTTTAACAACATTAAACCTCAGATAAATCAATATTATCTTTGTAAACACTTAGATTCAAGACTTATTTGTTTCTTTGAACCTGAAAATCTACAGTTACCGACTGGTTTATAAAAATAATCTTGTTTTATGTCTGTACTTGTCTGGTGCACTCTGGGGACTTTTACAACTGTGTCCAATGTGGTTTTACTGCAAATGGACAATAAATGAATCTGAATCTGAGTCTGAAATGTGATCTTTATTTTCAGAAATAACATGGTCCCAAACACACCTCGCTCCTGATCCTCTGCTCCAGGTGAAGTTAAAGCTCAGCTCTAACTTTGTGTTCCAGAGTTTTAGGAACAGACCAAAACATGTCTTTATATTATTACAAAACATGTCATTTTTGTTTAAGAAAGAGCCCTGCGAGTCACTGACTGTTTGGGCTGAGAGCTGATTGGCTGAGAACTGATTGGCTGATTCTCTCTTTGACACTTTAAATGTCAAACCAAAAGATTTTATTACAGATAATTAAATACATGTGGCGCCACCTGCAGGTGAAAGCCAGATCCCTCAGACTTCTGGATTTAAGCAGGGCAGGGCCTGGTTAGTGCTGTGATGGGAGACCTCTGGGAACAGCAGGTGCCACAGTGGGGCGGCTGCGGCTGTAAAGTGCCAAACTGTGGTTGTGTCCTTTGGAAAGAAACTTCACCCACATTAGAATGAGTCTGGTGTGTGTGTGAATGGTTGGTGGTGGAGGGAGGGGCCGATGGCACAGACTGGTTGCCTCGCTTCTGGCAGTGTGCCCCAGGGCAGCTGTGGCTGAAAATGGCTGTTTGGAGGGATTGAATAATGCTGTGAAGGGTCTCTGAGCGTTCGTCTGATACATTACATACATCTGTGGTTGAAAAGTAAATCATGGCCTGAACTCATAACATGGGTGTAGCATGTAGCATGTATCATGTAGCGTGTAGCATGTAGCATTTAGTATTTAGCATGTAGCATGGGTAAAAAACATATTTAATATTTTCATTTACAGTTTTTTCCTGTTGCTTGAACACTATAGACATACGCTTAGACCAAAGTTGCAGAACTTGAAGCTTTTGTTCTAAACCTAAAACACAGACTGACCATTCCTTAAACAAAAGTACTGCTTTGCACTCTACTTTCATTTCTACAACACACTTTCTCCTTTTGCAACACACTTTCTCTTTCTGCAACACACTTTCTCCTGCTCACTACACACTGTGTCATACATAAGACACTTTGTGCATATTTGCAATCCTGTGTTATCGTTGGGAAAACACATCTATTCAAAATACCAAACACATTGTGTGACTAAAAACACTGAGACACACACCAGAAAACACTGAATTACAAAATGCAACACACATCAGACAGACACAAACAGGCTTCAGTTTAGCCATTTTCAGAACTTTGCAAGTTTGAAGGCAGGAAGAGCAAGACAGAGGAAGACAAGGAGTAAGAGGATTAAAACAACACAATATTTTTATGACATTAGAGCAACTTTTGTGGATCTTGTGATAAACCACCGCCTCAAACTGAGGGAAGCAGAGAGTCCAGACAAGGTCCTTCAGGACCTACATGTTTCCAACGCTCTACTGCAGACTGTATCTACAGTATTTACAGTACTGTATCACATGTACTGTAAGTCTCTACTGCAGACTGTATCTACAGTATTTACAGTACTGTATCACATGTACTGTAAGTCTCTACTGCAGACTGTACCCACAGTATTTACAGTACTGTATCACATGTACTGTAAGTCTCTATTGCAGACTGTACCTACAGTATTTACAGTACTGTATCACATGTACTGTAAGTCTCTATTGCAGACTGTACCTACAGTATTTACAGTACTGTATCACATGTACTGTAAGTCTCTACTGCAGACTGTACCTACAGTATTTACAGTACTGTATCACATGTACTGTAAGTCTCTACTGCAGACTGTATCTACAGTATTTACAGTATTGTATCACATGTACTGTAAGTCTCTATTGCAGACTGTATCTACAGTATTTACAGTACTGTATCACATGTACTGTAAGTCTCTACTGCAGACTGTATCTACAGTATTTACAGTATTGTATCACATGTACTGTAAGTCTCTATTGCAGACTGTATCACAGTATTTACAGTACTGTTCTGTATCACATGTACTGTAAGTCTCTATTGCAGACTGTACCTACAGTATTTACAGTACTGTTCTGTATCACATGTACTGTAAGTCTCTATTGCAGACTGTATCTACAGTATTTACAGTACTGTATCACATGTACTGTAAGTCTCTACTGCAGACTGTACCTACAGTATTTACAGTACTGTATCACATGTACTGTAAGTCTCTACTGCAGACTGTACCTACAGTATTTACAGTACTGTTCTGTATCACATGTACTGTTTTGCAAGTTGGCTATTGCTCCTTTTTGAAAGAAATTTAGTTTTGTGAAACATACAAGACGGTAAAGTACATAAAACTGAGATATAACAGTACTGTGTACAATTGTACTGTAAAAAAACTAAACCTATAGTAACAATTTGTGGTTTCATATTTATACAAAATGACTAAAAGAACATCCGGAGGTGGTCGGCAACTGTTCACCAACAACATGAACTTGCCTTCGTGGAAATAGTTAGACCATGAACCATGATCCATAATCCACACACGCACAACTGCTTAGTTTTACATTAGAGTTTTTTTGTTTTACTGCCTTGACACAATTGTACTGTACTGTAAAGTATACTGTAGTACTGTACTGTAAAGTATACTGTAGTACTGTACTGTATTGAGTTTATATTATGTGTAACCTTTCAGTGTTACAGAGAACAAAAACAGTTCCATTGAGCTTCACAGAAAACTAACTGATAAACAGAATAAAAACAGTGAAAATGACTGCAGTGTTTTATATAAAGTACTGTAGTGTGTTGCTTTCAATCTGAAAGTGTGTTCACGTGATGCAAGTGTGTGTCATTTTGTCCTCAGAGTTTCATTTTGACGAATGATTGTTTAATTTTGAGAGCAGAGTTTGAGTTTTGATAGAGGAATTTCATTTTGACACAGATGTGTCTGGTTTATGTCCCAGTGTGTGTCAGGTTCTCGTGTGTGTAGAGTTTTGGGACTTTGAGCGAAATTTTGCAAACTGTGTTCAAGCAACAGGAAAAAACTGTAAAGTGTCCTTTTATGTAAACTCTGACACCACAAGAACACACTTTACAAAACAAGGCAACATTACAAATGACTTATTGTGAGGATGTTTTGATGTGGTTACAGATGGCTCTGAGGGCAGACTCAGGCCCCTGGGAGCCCTGGGGCCCTGGGGGCCTCTCCTTCCCTGGGGGCTCTCAGTGGTCAGAGCCTGGATGTGGGTCAGGAACAGCTCAGTGGACGAGGCCCCGCTCCACAGCTCATGGATGTAGAGAGGAAACAGGAACAGACCGGCTTCTGCAACAGATTCTCTGTCATTCATTTGTGACAAAATGTCTCTGTGAGTTTGTCTCACAGCTTTAACCCTAAAGTGGTTTGTTGTTGTTCAGGTTTAAGTCACTCTTTCTGTAAATGAAATAAATGTTATTTCACAAACATCACTGTGTCCTGTATATGATATATTACACATTTATGATCAAAACAACAATGATTTATGAAAATCACACACACACATACAGACACACACACACAGACACACACACACACACACACATACAGTCAAAAATACACACACACACACACAGACAAACACACGCAGACACACACACACACACACACACACACATACACACACAGACACACACACACACACATACACAGACACACAAGTTCATGGTTTAACCACGTCCCCCTGAGGTCGGTGTAAAGATGATGTTTCCTCCAACAACATGTGTTTGAGCTGTTTATGTTTGAACAGATGAAGTTGGTTTAACCCTGACAGGCCCAGGGCCGTATCCCTCCTCCACAGGCCCAGGGCCGTATCCCTCCTCCACAGGCCCAGGGCCGTATCCCTCCTCCACAGGCCCAGGGCCGTATCCCTCCTCCACAGGCCCAGGGCCGTATCCCTCCTCCACAGGCCCAGGGCCGTATCCCTCCTCCACAGGCCCAGGACCGTATCCCTCCTCCACAGGCCCAGGGCCGTATCCCTCCTTCACAGGCCCAGGGCCGTATCCCTCCTCCACAAGCCCAGGGCCGTATCCCTCCTCCACAGGCCCAGGGCCGTATCCCTCCTCCACAAGCCCAGGGCCGTATCCCTCCTCCACAGGCCCAGGGCCGTATCCCTCCTCCGCAGGCCCAGGGCCGTATCCCTCCTCCGCAGGCCCAGGGCCGTATCAGTCCTCCACAGGCCCAGGGCCGTATCCCTCGACCGCAGGCCCAGGCCCAGGGCCGTATCCCTCCTCCACAAGCCCAGGGCCGTATCCCTCCTCCACAAGCCCAGGGCCGTATCCCTCCTCCACAGGCCCAGGGCCGTATCCGATTTTATTTTTTTACTAATTTAATTTAAAAAAAGTATAACTTAAGATGTGGTCTGTTACTTTATTTATGTGCAGGTTTTTCATCATGGAGTGTTTGAAAAGGTGAATTGCAGTAATTATAAATATTTTCATACATGAGGACTTTTTCCGGTCGAGCACCGTGGCCTCAGATTTGGAGGTGCTGATTCTCATCCAGTGGGGCGGGTCCCAGCTCGAAAGTGGCCAAAATGACGTGCGCTGACATGCTTGCAATACCACCCCGGGCCTGTGGGGGTGGACCCAGAAGAAGAATTAGCCAATGCTAACATTTAGCGTTGGCAGACCGAAAACGTCTTTACAGGATGGACCAAAAGTTGTCTCTTGGCCCAAAGCTCCGTTCCACATGTGTGTCAATGCTGAGGGAGTGTTTTGGTCCACTCTAGTTTACTTGCTGTGAATTTTGTAAGTCTCTCGTTCAAATGAATGGAGTTGCGCCGGCTGACTCATGCGCAGATGCGTTTTTTCGCAATTATCTTGTGGGCGGGACCACTCGCAGCCATTTTGGATTGCTCCAGTAGAGCACATTTTTTGGCCCATTAGTTAGAACCATAGACTGTATATATTAATGGACAGAGTCACGCCTATCTCCGCTGTTCATAGAAGTTGGCCATGAAAAGTGCTTTCATGGAGCAATCCAAGATGGCCGCGAGTGGTCCCGCCCACAAGAAAATTGTGAAAAAACGCATCTGCGCATGTGTCAGCCGGAGCAGCTCCATTCATTTGAACAAGAGACTTCAAAAATTCCCAGTAAGTAAACTAGAGTGGACCAAAACACTCCCTCAGCATTGACACACATGTGGAACGGAGCTTTGGGCCAAGAGCCAACTTTTGGTCCATCCTGTAAAGACTTTTTGAGAGGTCTGCCAACGCTATATGTTAGCATTGGCTAATTTTTCTTCTGGGTCCACCCCCACAGGCCCGGGGTGGTATTGCAAGCATGTCAGCGCACGTCATTTTGGCCACTTTCGAGCTGGGACCCTCCCCCACTGGTTGGCACACATGCTACCTACACGTAGAGTAATATTTTAATTTTCTTCTGTATGGCCTTTTGGGGAATTTGCCTTGATGCGACAAGCCCTTAGACCATATACATTAACGGACGTAGTCACGCCTATCTCCACCGTTCAAACTAATGGGCCAAAAATTGGGCTCTACTGGAGATATCCAAAATGGCCGCGAGTGGTCCCGCCCACAAGAGAATTGTGAAAAAACGCCTCTGCACATGCGTCAGCCGCTTGTAGCTGAAGAACTCATGTGCTCGGGGGATTCTCGCGGTACTGCAGACTAGACCAGACTAAATTCTCGTGGGCTACCCAGAAATTTTCCCCATAGGACTCAATGCATATTAAAACAGCTCAACCTCAGCTGACAGAGAACCTGACAGAGAACCTGACAGAGAACCTACAGCTTTAATAAAGATCGGATTTTGTGGGGATTTTAGTGTCCCTTGTCATCCTGAACTTTTTTTCTTCTTAAATCCTTCGGTTTTGTTTAAATCCACACTTTAGTGCCACAAACTCTGCTCGTCTGGCTCTCGCTCTAACTCCCGCTCCGATGAACTGCTCTGATTGGTCAGAGCCGAGCCCCTCTGTGCACGTGCGTGAGACCCGGTGTGAGACCCACACAAGCGTGTTTGGCGCAAAGCATCATGGGAGATCATCCACTGCACAGACCCGGGAGGACAATACAATTTATTCTTGTATAGCCCTAGGTCACAACAGAAGTCATCTCAGAGACTTAACAAAACCATTGAAATCACCAACACAGGTCAGAGAATCAACAGTTAAAACACATGAAGAATATAAAGCACACACAGAAGAAAATGTCCATACATGTTGTAGAATGCTAAAGTGTCCTGATCATCACCAATCCTTTCTGTTGGACACTAACTGTCCAACAAGACCCTCCTGCATCCACAAGGAAAAACTCTTAAAAAACCCAGTGGGGAAAAGTGAGAAACCTTGGGGAGCACTAGGGAAACCCACAGGGAGGGAGACCCATTTGAGAAAGGGATCCGCTCCTCCGGACGGACAGGCTAATGATCCATGACCTAAGCTAGCTACAGAACGTGGACCAGCGGCGTGGACAGGTCCGGTGCAGGACTGAAGCACTCCCAGGCGGGTCGGACGGGGCAGTCCGCAGGTGTAGATGGAGGAGGCCAGGCTCAGAGATCCCGTCATCGTACCATGAAACAGACAATGGGACAACGGGTGAATAGCAATGAACAAACTACCGTCAAAATCCTAAAAATGCTAAACAGATAAAGTAGGAAGGAGGAGAGGATAGTGCTCAAGTTACCATACTTCTCCAGCAGGGGGCTCCTTATGCAGCTTGACTAACACTCTGAGGAGTTTAGCCTTCCCTGAGTCTTACCTTCCTAGCCATATGCTAAACTAAAGAGGACTGTTTTAAACCTAGCCTTGAATAAAGAGAGCGTATCTGAAAGGAGGCGAGACAGCAGCAGCCACGGCTAGGCTAGTCTAGGCTACAGCACCAAGATTCATGGATTGCACACCAGGTGTGCCAAACCGATCCAGGCAAACCTAATTATATATTATATATCATATACATCACATATACCATACATACCATATATATCATATGTAATACACAACATAGCATAATATATAACATAATATACAACATAATACATATATTGTACAATATATCAGAATCAGAATCAGAATCATTTTTATTGCCACGTAAGTAACAGGAGGTCACAGACTTGGAAATTGCTTTGGCTCAGTGCAACAGTCAAAAAGAGATAATAAAAATAAGAATAAAAAACACTTCTAAAGAATAAATTTAAATTTAAAATAGAGTTACAGTTACTATTTACAATATACAAGTGCACATGGTGCACACAATGTAAGGTGACAGCAGTACAGTGAAGTAAAGTGACGTATGATGGGCAGTAAAGTGACTTTATAAAGGGCGGGGGAACAGGTTAAGAAGTGTTCAAGAGTCCAACAGCAGAGGGGAAGAAACTGTTCTTGTGGCGGGAGGTTCTAGTCCTGATGGACCGCAGCCTCCTGCCTGAGGGGAGTGGTTGGAATAGTCCATGTGCAGGGTGAGAGGGGTCGGCTGTCCGAGACATTCTTCCCCAGACGCACTCGCTGCTTCCTGTCCGTCAGGAAGTCAGTGATCCACCTGCAGGTGGAATCGGGCACGTTGAGCTGGGAGAGCTTGTCCTGGAGCAGGGATGGCAGGATTGTGTTGAAGGCAGAGCTGAAGTCCACGAACAGGACCCTGGCGTAGGTCCCCGGGGAGTCCAGGTGCTGTAGGATGTGGTGGAGGGCCAGGTTAATGGCGTCGTCTACAGATCTGTTGGCTCTGTAGGCGAACTGCAGGGGGTCCAGGAGGGGGGAGGTGAGGGACTTGAGATGGGAGAGAACCAGGCGTTCAAACGACTTCATGACGACAGACGTAAGTGCTACAGGTCTGTAGTCATTGAGTCCTGTGATCCTGGGCTTCTTCGGGACGGGGACAATGATGGAGGATTTGAAGCAGGCCGGGACATGGCAGGACTGCAGAGAGGTGTTGAAAATGTCCGTGAACACAGGAGTAAGCTCACTGGCGCAGTATATAACATAATACGGCATATATATATAATATATACACCATATATTATATAATACCTAATTATATGCTAAATTAAAGTAGAGTGCTTTAAGCCTGGCCTTGAATGTGGAGACCGTGTCTGCTTCCTTAACATAAATGAAGCTGATTCCACAGTAAAGGAGCTTGGAGCTAAATGCTCTGCCGCCAACAGTGATTTTTGAGACCTTAGGAACCACCAGACGTCTGGCGTTTTGTGAGCGCAACGCTCGACTTGGTTGATACGACACTAACGTGTCTTGGAGATAAGAAGGAGCCAAGCCATTTATGGCTTTATATGTTAAGAGAAGGATTTTACTTTATTCTGTACTCCACAGGGAGCCAGTGGAGTGATTTTAACACCGGAGTTATGTGCTCCCTCCTTTTGGTACCTGTTAAGATCCTAGCTGCTGTATTCTGAACGAGCTGGAAGCTCTTCAAACAGGTTTTAGGGCACGCTGCCAGTAAAGCGTTACAGTAGTCGAGCCTTGAGGTGACAAACGCGTGAATAAGTTTTTCCGCGTCACTTTTAGGAAGGAAATCCCTAATTTTAGCGATGTTCCATAAGTGGAAGTACGCCGTTTTAGTCGCTTGGCTTATATAAGCCTTGAAGGAGAGTTCTTGGTCAAAAATGACTCCAAGATTCCTCACAGTGTTACTGGGTATAATACTGACATTATCAGAGTGATTATCTGGTTAGTGAGGGAGTCACGCAGGCGCTTCGGACCGAGTAGGATCACTTCTGTCTTCTCCGGGTTGAGAAGTAGGAAGTTAAGAGTCATCCACATTTTAAGGTCCTTTATGCAGAACTGAGCTTTTCTAGCTGATCTGTCTGATTTGGCTTCATCGACAGATAAAGCTGTGTGTCATCTGCAGCAGTGGAAATTAATTCCATGCTTTTTAATAATGTTTCCTAACGGCAGCATGTAGAGAGTGAAAAGAATCGGTCGGTCTGAGTACCGAACCCTGCGGCACACCGAATTCTACTCCAGAATAAGGCGACGAATTCTGATTTACGTTGACGAAGTGATACCGATCTGATAAATAGGATTTAAACCAGCCAAGGGCTGTTCCTCTGAGACCTATATCACATTCTAGCCTCTGCAGTAGAATGCTGTGGTCTATTGTGTCAAATGCAGCACTAAGGTCCAGTAGGACCAGCACTGACACTTGTCCATTATCAGCAGCTAGTAGTAAGTCATTTGTGACTTTGACTAGTGCCGTTTCAGTCTATGATGAGCTCTGAATCCAGATTGAAAGACTTCAAACATATTATTTTCCTATAATATGTATACTTCTGTAAACTAAATAATTAGGGTCTGATTGTGCATCGAGGACATAGGGCTCGATGTGACGGATTGTCATTGATGGAAAAAGTTTATTCTTATGTCTGAAATTACTGTACTGGTGTTTGGTTTCTTTTTCTTTTTTACAAAAAGACAAATATACATATACATTGATACATAAAATGACGAAGACAAAAACCAAAGTATTTTGGAGTGAGCAGAGGCCTGCTCACTCCGAAGGACCGCAGCCTCCTCAGAAGGAAGAGGCGACTTTGGCCCTTCTTGTGCAGGGCGTTGGTATTATGGGACCAGTCCAGTTTATTGTTAATGTGAACACCCAGGTACTTGAAGCTGTCCACCAGCTCAATGTCCTCCCCGTGGATGTTCAGCAGCGTGTGGGAAAGTGGTTTTCTCCTGAAATTGATTGCTATCTCCTTGGTCTTACTGGTGTTCAAGCACAAGTGGTTGCGCTCACACCAGTCGACAAAGTCTGAGAAAACCGCCCGATATTCCAGTTCGTTCCCCTCAGACACACAGCCCACGATGGTGGAGTCGTCAGAGAACTTCTGCAGGTGACCGCTGTGTGTGTCATGTGTGAAGTCTGAAGTGTAGATGGCGTGTGCTGTTTTAGGAACCAGGATCACACAGGAGGTCTTCCACAGGACAGGGACCTTCTCAAGGCTGAGGCTCAGGTTGTACATGTAGCTGAGGACCCCAGAGAGCTGGTCTGCACAGGTCCTCAGCAGCCTGGGACTGATCCCGTCCGGTCCTGCGGATTTCCTTTGCTTCAGACACTGGAGCTGACTCCTCACTTGGTCCGGTGTGATGGAGAGAGGGGGGGACCGGGGTGTACTGGGTGCTGGGGATGCGGGGGCAGGAGGGCCCGGGGCAGCCGAAGGCAGTGTCCACTGGGCGGTGTCCACTGGGCTGGGGACGTGTGAAGAGGTGAGGGCGGAAGGGGGGGCAGAATCAAACCGGTTGAAATATTGGTTAAATTCATCCGCCCGGTGCTGGTCTCCATCCGCTGTCCCGCTGGTACTCTGTCCAAAGCCGGAGATGTTCTTTAGGCCTCTCCACACGTCGCGGGCGTTTCCCTGGGCCAGCTTCTGCTCCAGCTTTTTCCCATAGTCTTTCTTGGCCCTCCTAATTCTCCACTGGAGCTCCTGCTGGATCCTCTTCTGCTCCTCTTTGTCCCCTGAGATGAAAGCCCTTTTCTTGAGGTTCAGGAGGGCTTTAAGCTCAGAGGTCACCCATGGGTGGTTATTGGAGAAGCACCGTACCTTCCTAGTCGGTACAGTGTTATCCACACAGAAGAGGATATAGTCTGTAATACAGTGTGTCAGGCTCTCGATGTCATCACCGTGAGAGCTGCAGATCATGTCCCAGTCTGTGGGAGGAGAGGCTGAGAGAAACATTCTCTCAGCCTCTCCTCTGCATCATCCGTCCACACTGTGACAGACTTCTTCTGCGCCGGTTGTCGTCTCACCATGGGTGTATATTCCGGAGACAGGCACACAAGAGAGTGATCGGAGCGCCCGAGCGGCGGGAGGGGGGAGGAGGCGTATGCGTCCTGGACATTTGCATACAGTAATGGTGCGTTCAGACCAAAAGCTTCAAAAAGCTTTTGACGCGCGTCAGCTGACGCCGGGTAACTTTTGTCATTTTGGTGCTTGAAGCTTTTGACGCGAGTGACGCGCCTGACGCCGGTGGGAGGAGCTCCTCTGTTGCCGGTATAGTTCAGAGAAGATGGCGGATTTCCAGAGAGCAGCTTGCATTTATTTGTTGTACAAGTCCATACAACGTCGTCGTAGGGCTTCTACACAACGTGTATGGGTTCACAACATACTTCAGAGGCGTGCAGTGTTTGGTGAGTTTCACCATTTACTCCAGGAGCTGCGTATGGACGAGGCTCGCTTTCAGCGGTACTTCCGAATGTCAGTAGCCCAGTTTGATGACCTGCTCACCCGCATTGGAGCTCGCATCGCCCGCATGGACACCAACTACAGGCGCTCGATTCCTGCGGACAAGCCCCTGTCTATCTGTCTGAGGTTTGTGAGAACTTTCTGATAAAATATCTACAAATACAATAGGAAATAGCGTCTCTAGCATGGATCACGGAGCGAGAGAGAGGAGCAGCCAAAAGCGGTAAAAGTTTGATATACGTTTTAATTAGGACATAAAAGTTAATTGTAATAACATTTGAGGCGGTAAATATACCCCACTAATGTCGTATCAGAGGTTCGTTTGGTGATTAAATAGATATTTAGATTTTTTGTCTGACTTTTTCCCTCCAGCGCGGAGCTCCAATGCTAACCGGCTAACCACGGGTGTTGAGCGGCGCTGAACACCCGTGAACCCAAGGAGGCTTTTGTTACAGACTTTCTTTGTTATAACGATTGTATTTAGAGTAATCATTATTAATACAATTCATATATTTGCTATGGCCCTCGTTTGTGCATTTGAAGTTATTTTGAAGGTGCATTGTGTCACTGTAGTGAAGTTATTAGAAAACTGATAAATTACATTTTCCCTGTTTACAATGGCAGGGCCTGACATCTCCTTTACAAGCATGTGAAAACAGCATTATCTGTTACTTAATATATTCAGATTCCCAAAGTTGTATTTAGTCCCAATAAGTATTTAACCCCCCCGTGATTTCACAAGAGAGGGTACATTTCCATTGTTGGTGCAATTCCTGACAGACAGAATGAAACAAACACAAAATTACAAAATCATATTGTATGATTCATTAACAATATTTTTGTATATTACTGAGTCGTATTTGTATCATTGTAGGTTTCTTGCTACTGGGGACTCCTTCAGGACCATAGCAAGCAGCTTCAGGGTGTGCATCTCCACCATCTCCAGCATCATCCCAGATGTGGTGGCAGCCATCTGGGACGGCCTGGTGGAGGAGTTCATGCCTGTGCCTGGAGAAGAGGAGTGGAGGTTGTCTGTTAAGGAGTTTGAGGAGCGGTGGAACTTCCCTCTTTGCTGTGGTGCTATAGATGGGAAGCACATCAACCTCAAGGCACCCCCCAACTCAGGCTCCCTCTACTTCAACTACAAGGGTAGGTACTCCTTGGTCCTCCTCGCTTTTGTAGATGCCAACTACAAGTTCAGGGTGATTGACGTAGGGGGCAGAACCAGCGATGGAGGGATCCTGGCCAACTCCACTTTCGGTCAGGCTCTGCATGCGGGAACACTTCGTCTGCCAGCTGACCGGCATCTCCCTGGAGCAGAGCACCGAGGTCCCCAGCCTCATGTCTTTGTGGCAGATGAGCAGAGGTGTGGACTCGAGTCATGTGACTTGGACTCGAGTCAGACTCGAGTCATGATTTTGATGACTTTAGACTCGACTTGACCAAATATAAAAAGACTTGCAACTCGACTTGGACTTTAACATCAATGACTCTGACTTTCACTTGGACTTGCGCCAATTGACTTGTAAAGACTTGCGTAACCCGGGCCATTTTTACCTTTCTCCGCATCTCTCTTTCTATCTATGCCGTCTCTGAAGAAACAAAGCCTCGCGGTAGTTGTAGCGCTCGCGAGAGAGTTCGAACGTGAGTTCCCCTCAGTTCGCGCAGCAACACTTCCCTAAACAAGCGGACTGCATTCACCGGTGGGTGTGTTGTCTAGGGGAGCTGGAAATGAGCGAGCTGCAGGTATTTATCGCGACCTAACGTCATATTTTGTTCTACAAACCGTAATTGATATGCTTTCACTACAGGCGCCTCATACAATTGAATCGACGCAGTTGTCACACTGTGTGCCGTGTTTTAAAGAGGAACTGGTGAGTCAAACTAGCGCTAGCCTGCGCTGCTCTGTTGGCTCTTTCTTATATTTTTCTGTGTGGGCGCCGAGGCCTATTATTATGAGTATGTTTTTGCTGTGCTCCTCCTGCTAAAGTTTGCATACATTAGATAGTTGTTTTGATTATGTGCACTAAGCTAGATTAATATTTGCACTATTGTTTATGGTGCATTGATATGAGAATCAGTGCTTTGACTGATTGAATTAATTTATATGAGACATTTTATTATGTAATGATATATTGGTAATTATGAGATATTGCTAATGCTGGTCCAGTTGATGGCGAGCTGCCCCAGGTCCAAAGCCTAGACCCCTCATACTACCCCTATTCTACAGTAGGACATTTGGAACAATAACCACTACGGACATTAAACTGATTATATAGATACAGGTCCTAGCCCAATACTCATATTCATATATGCTGCACTTGCTACTTCCCATTAAAAACCCCAAAGATAAAAAGTATGTTGACACGGACTGCTCTGATTTTATGTGTGGTCTGTGCATGTGTAACTGAGCCTGCATCTGGCACAACATCCAATTAGATCACGTAGATAGTTTTGATTTATCAGCAGCCAACGACATGGAACAAACTGTTAGTCCATGGGTCAGAGACCAACGAGAATGCACCAGCAAAATTTTTCATTTCATTTTATTTATTCTTTTTTCATGGTAATGCAACATACTATACAATTGGAACAAATCAACAAACACAACAATAATACATTCCATGAAAAGAAGAACAGGAGTAGGATGAAGAAAAAAAATCTTATAAGCTCCTACCCCATTCTTTAAAAAAAAAAAACATTACAAATTAGATGGCCACACCGATGCCAAAAGATAACAATAGCCCAGACCAGATGTAATCAGCTTTCAATTTTAACAAGTTTCTTTCTTTTTTTCCCGATTATTATTAATAATTTTGCTAAAACAACAGTGATGCAATGGTGACAACAGCGGCGACGGGAACAGCGACGAGTCCATCAAACCACACAACGCACACCCACGTGCACATACAGGGAGACATGCACGGACACACACAGGCACACCCACAGCACACACACAAAAGGATGGAGAGGATCTATTGACGTATTTGTGATGAGCCCTATGCTGTGTGTTGCATTAAAAAAACAAGGTTTGAGTGGGCAGCTGTCGAAAGATGTTTGACCTCCCACAGCTGCCCGGCACCTGCTTGCCCTACATTAGTGATTGACAGAGTTGTGCCCTAAGATAGGTGTTGTGTTTAAAAAGACAGGAGTTAGCGGAAGTCCAGAGGTGCTACACCCCTGACATTCCCTCCATTCCTGCTCACCCTGTACTGAAGAGGATGTGTATATGTACTCGTAATGAGCCCTATGCTGTATGGTGTATTTAAAAAAGCGAGGTTTGTGTGGGCAGCTGTTGAGAGACGTATGACCTCCCACAGCTGCTCAACAGCTGCTCAACACCCGCTTACCCTGCACTGAAAATTTGTTCCTCTTTTGTTTTTTGTTTTTTTTTTTTCTTTTTTTTTTGCGTACTGTGAGCATACCTGTATACACCCATACAGACACACCCACACGAACACATAGGTACGCGCCACACAACCAGACAGTCCCGCCATCGCCCCCATCACCACCGCCACACCACTACATCACCACCATCGTTATCAGCACTGTTGTTGTAAATTTAACAATTTTCACATTCATCTTTGTACAAGTTAAGAATGTTCTGTTTATACTTATATTTAAATTGAAGAATATTTGAACAACATTTTAGATCTTTTTTCTAGAGAGTTCCATTGTTTCACACCAGATACTGAGACACACATTTGTTTAAGGGCATTTCCTGCAAAAGGTTGTTTAAAGTCAGTATTTCTTCTACTTGTCTCACTATTTACAGTAAAAAGGGTTTGAAGTCCATGCGGTAACAGGCAGTGTTTTGCTTTATAAACAACTAATAAAGTTTGTAAAGAAACCAAGTCCTTTAATTTGAGTAGTCCTGACCTCAGAAACAGACCTGTAGTATGTTCTCTTGGAGCAACTCCATTAATTATTCTTATAGCCCTTTTTTGCAAAAGAAATAAGGGCATTAAATTAGTAATATAAGAATTACCCCATACCTCCAAACAATACATTAAATATGGCAAAATAAAGGAACAATATAAGATTCGCATTGCCTTGTAATTCAACATAAACTTTACTTTACTCAAAACAGCAATATTTTTACAAATTTTATTTCTTACGTAAGCTATGTGTGACTTCCACTTAAATTTATCATCAATGAGTACTCCTAAAAACCTGAATTCTGACACTCTCTCAATAGTTATTCCATTTAAAGTCAAATTAACACTTTCAAGGCATTTTTGATTTGTAAACAACATACATTTTGTTTTGTTTAAGTTTAACGACAATTTATTTTTATTAAACCATTTCTGAAGTTGGACCATTTCTTGTTAGATAGTTTTTATTAATGTTCCTAAATTCTTCCCCGATACAAAAAAATTGGTATCGTCCGCAAAAAGAACAAAACGTAAAATCTTTGATTCATCACAGAGGTCATTAATATATAAAATAAAAAGTTTAGGTCCCAGCACAGAGCCTTGAGGGACTCCACACTGTATTGTTTCTAAGTTAGATTCATGGCCTATATACTCTACATATTGTTGTCTATTTTCTAAGTAACTACTAATCCAGTTTAATACTACACCTCTAATTCCATATGTCTGTAATTTAGATATCAATATACCGTGATCAAGCGTGTCAAAGGCCTTTTTAAGGTCAATAAAAACTCCAACTGTGTGATTTTTATTCTCCAATTCTGTAGTAATGTCCTCTGTGATTTTCATCAAAGCCATAGCTGTTGAGCGGGTGCTTCGAAACCCAAACTGATTATCATGTATCAAGGAATGTTTTTCAAGAAAAGAATCCAATTTTTTAACAAAAAGTTTCTCCAGAATTTTGGAAAATTGAGAAAGCAAAGATATAGGCCTATAATTTGTGAGGCTATGCTTATCACCCGATTTAAAAAGGGGAACAATCTTAGCCACCTTCATTTTATCTGGAAAGAAACCTGTATTAAAAGACACATTGATTATATATTGTAATGGTCTAATAATACAATGTATAGTTTCTTTGACAATATACATATCTAAGCCATCACTATCGCATGAATATTTACTTTTCAATTTAGAGACAGTAGAGATAATTTCACTCTCACCAACTTCGCCAAGAAATAGGGATTGCATAACTCTACTTTCACCTGTCCAACTTTTATTTTCGTTATTTAGTGGTATAGATTTAGCAAGATTTGGACCAACATTAACAAAAAATGAATTCAATTCATCAGCCATTTTTTCACCACTTACCTCCATATTCTGTTGATTCATTAAGTATAATGGCTGACTACAATTAATTTTACTGCCCATAACCTCCCTTAAAACTTTCCACATTCCTTTGATATTACTTTTGTTTTCCATTAACAAGTTTGTATAATAATCTTTCTTTGCACGTCTCATTATGGTAGTCAACTTATTTTTATAGGCTTTAT